AAGTGACAGTAGCAATGGGGTGTCTCGTTTTAGCGACCCGCCGGGGGTCCGAAACAGCCGCGCCCGGCCGGGAGTGGGCATTTGACTTCTTCTGGAATCTCCAATTTCCACACGGTGTATTACAAAACAAGGCACCGTTGTGGAGGTCTCGTTGAATCGTTAGGTAAACTATGAGGTCACCCGACGTCACGAAGCTCAGAAACGTCATTCTGATAGGTGCAGCTAATAATTTCCTTAACACAGCAAGGGGGATATGGGGGGCACGTAAATAGGCGTTAAGACTAAGGGAGTCCATTTAGTTTTTCGGTTCCTTCAGGGGGGTCAGGTCAGTTGAGGTCGCCATGCAAAGTTAGTCTGCCAGTAGTCTACAAAAGCGATACTTTTCACAATGGGCTTCGCCTAAGTTAATATCATTACGTGCAGCTGTGGGAAGTGCATTCCTGACACTACGATGCCATTTTAGGCTAGCTTAAAGGTTTTCTGAGGTCAGCTTGGTCCAAATTTATAAACCTCCCAAGAGAAAAGTGTATTTGCTAGCGGGGTCCATGTGACCAACGGAATGTTCTTACGTGGTCAGAAATTGTGTGTTGTACGTCTTAGGCACCGAAAATCACATAACTTTGTGCACATTATGCATAGCCCTTCGACGCTTGGCAGCGTATTTATGATAAACTGAGAACCTGCACGTTGGTACACAAAATTATACGTCATTAGCTTCACAGACACGATAATGAGGTGGCTATACAGGTCGCACTTGTTCATCTAATCTCTCCGCAACTGACATGGGTCACTGAACTTGGATGGTCTCATATGACCTAACACGTTTTCACGTGACTTATTGTGACCTCAATATGCATTTGTGCGACATCACAACATGTTTTAAGATGAGTATTCGAATTATGCGCCTAAAATTACTACTCAAACTGCCTATTTGGGCCTAAGCATGTGACTGTATGACCGTGCAGTCGATAAGCCCCAAAGACTCGTGCTCATCAAGTCTTTCGCAAAACTCATCCATAGAAGTAATTCATAACCTGGACCAAGGTCATGTGCTTTGTGGTCATATGATGGGACTGCATGTGATAAGAACTCGTTTCCTCATATACAGAAAACCAAGACTACAGCCAACTCGCGCACATTTACCTTACTTCCCAAGATAGGAAACATGAGCTAACTCCAGGTCACTGACCTCGCCAGTTTTAAAAAAAATCTGAAAAATTGCAAACTATAGGTGCTGTCATGTTTTATTACTATAGTAAGTGTTAATAATGGCAAAAATGGTGTATGTGATCAACTTTTTCAGAGGCTGACCTCTTTAAACCAGCTTGGGTCACGAATCTCGGCAAATAAAAACTCCATGTCTGCGCGGAGGATGAGAAATTAACGTAACAACAGATTATGAAACTTTTGAGTTGCTGCCAGCATTCATCCTTGAGCTGTACTGGAATCCGTAGGGGAAGTCAATACCCCTTGGGCGGGCGCGGGTTAAAGTGGTTGGTCACAGTTGCTGAGAAGTGTTGGTCAGGCCCCAAGTGACACTGCCGCCTGGTGCATGCAAGCAGGCAAGTTGAATGCAGCGGATGTGTTGCACTGCTGGTCCATTTGTTGCACTCCTCATCCATTTTATCTCCAGAGACTGGGCTGAGGGAGAAAACCTCCGTCACGGAACGCGAAGGTCGAAGTACTGCCCACTGGATGTGGACGAGATTGAACGGTCGTCAAAACCGCCGTTTCGTCACTGTGCGTGGAAAACGTCCTGTCTAGCAACGTCCTTTCGTCACTGTCCGTTTCCTACCATTTTCACTCGAGCGGCATATTCACGGAATCAACACGTCCTAAATAGCTCGCTGTACTTATAGCTAAACATGAGCACGCATTCTGTTATGTTGTACTGCTTTGTACTGTGGTAATTTATTATTCCTAAGGCATTGATGTTGTTTGCTTTGGCATTGATGTTAAGCAATGTGTGAGTGAATGTGAATAAAATTATATGATTATGACCAAGACTATGAGCTATGCTGCATGATTGGGAGGCTGTGGGCTTATCCACTTTGCGGTGTGTTGAAGTTAACGGCTGAAGGTGAGCGGTGGCCAGAGGCGTTGATCGCATGCTGGCAGATTGATGACTACAAGCGTATGGTCGTCTCCCCCCCCCCCTCTCTCTCTCTCTCTCTCTCTCTCTCTCTCTCTCTCTCTCTCTCTTCCCGTCCTTCCGTCTCTCTATCTATCTCTCTGTCTCTCTTTGTCTCTGACTTTCTGCCTCTAGCTCTCGTCCTCTGACTGTCTGTATATCTGTTTGTCTCTTTCTGTCTCTGTCCGTCTGTCTCTGTCTCTATCTCTGTCTCTGTCTGTGTCTATCTCCATGTCTGCTCGTGACATGCCATTAAACTGTCTTGTAAAATGTGCGACAATACAGGATGCAGGTTTGCACTCATGACGACTTGCCAACTTCATTCACAGTTGTGTTTCTTATTTCACAAAGGGACAGAATGTCCAGAGCTTGTAACGGTGTATTTTTTGTCACCAACCGAATTTCTGCTGGCAGAATTGTCGTCCGCAGCGTACCCGATACCATTTGGCATGAAATGATCGTTTCACTGAAGTTAACTCCGTGATGGGCTAATGTGCATTATGTGTACACCAAGTCCAGATGGGAGCTTAATTACTTCTATTATGAGCAGCTGGGAGGCAGGGACATCATGGAATGGGTGCATGTTTGTTTTTTGTTTTTCCTTTAAATACCCTGGATTGCCAGAATAATTCTGCACTAATTGTAGTGGTGCTGCCCTCTAACCTAATATGGATTTGTCACCCTAACTGATGGTGGTGTAAATACAGCCTACTGTATTGTAATGCCTTATTTCCAGTTTGGAAGGAATTTGCCAGTGATGCCTGGCTTGGTGGCCTACACTGCTCATGATAATGTGCTCGTTTATTCTATGTACTTATCAAGCTCATTGCCCACGTTCTCATGTCATGCCTGCATGCTAAAGCTGTGACTAGCAGAAAAGTCCTATCAACACAACCTGTTTTTGGCATCCATCATTCAACACATGCTTTCTCGTTTTGAAATCTTGGGCGTCATATTCAAAAACATCTTTAAATGACTAAAATCATCTCCCTTTTCTGAACTCCCTCTATGACCTTTTTTCTAGCCCATCCACATTTCTTTACCTTACTTTCCATCAACACCTTTCTATATGGGTTCAACCTCAAATAATAAGGTGTTTATTCCATTTGCTTCAAACATTGATGGTAATGATCCTTTACTTTCATATGATGATTATGAGAAACTAAGAGAATCATGCACATTTTATTTACCTGAAAAGGTAAAAACTGTTATTCCGCATAACATCAGTGCACTAAACCTTATGCATGTTAACATTCGCTCAATCCTGAAGAAGCAGGATGATTTAATTAGTCTGCTTGCCCAGACTGATATAACACGGCACGTAATTTCTATATCTGAAACATGGCTGCCTGCAGCTTTGGAATCTCTTTATGACTTACCTGGATACCAAGTTCTTTACTGCAGTAGATCAAAAGGGGTAGGTGGTGGATCAGCAGTATACATTGCTCATCATCTTCATCCTATACAACTTAGCAATCCAGTTTTCTCTGCAGCTGAAGTGGCTTGTGCTGAACTTCTGTATGATAATGCTAATATTATCATTTACCAAATTTATAGGTCACCCAACACTGACAAACACCACTTCAACTCAGAGCTAGAGCGATGCCTAATTTGGCTTAAAAAATGAACAGAGTAACATTTATTTCTGGTGATTTCAAGTTTGATCTGTTTCCACTTGTTATCAATCTAAATGTGCAAGCATTTTTCACGAACATGTGTTCAAATGGCTTCTTTCCTACAATGTCCAGGACAGCTCGATCTTGCTATCGATCTTGTACGCTTCTAGATAACATATGTTGCAATTTCTTATTAAAAGTAATGCATACAGGCATTCTCATTCATGATTTGTCTGAATATTTCCCTATATTTGTTCCAATGAACTACGCCTCACACACACACACACTCCACTGATGTTAGAACACCTATTACCACACTTGATTACAGAAGCCTGGAAGAACTTAAACAATTCCTTGTTGATCACCTTATTGATGTCGAAAATGAGCCAGAACCTGATGCTATTGCAAATCAAGTTGTGTATGTTTACAATGCTGGGATCACCAGGTTTTCTCATACAAGGCACATTTCTCGAAAAACCAGCTCACGCAAACCATGGGTGTCGCCTGCACTTCTTTTATCAATTACACATTAAAGTAAGCTATTCGAACAGAAATTGAGGCACCCCAGACCCCAAAATAATGCAAAATACACTTCTTACCGCAACATTCTAACTACATCTCTCAGGCTAGCCAAAAAGAAGTACTACATTGATGAATTCACTAAACATTCTGGCAACTCCAAGGAAACATGGAAAACATCATACACTGCCAAAAATTCAACAAAAAAAGATGCAGATCCAGCCAGGATTAATGAGGCTAATGATAAGATTATCACAGACGATCCGGATATCGCAGAATCATTTAACCACTTTTCGCTGAAATTCGACAACAGTTAAAAGACAAAATTCCTAAATTATCATTCGACCCACTCCAGCTCATCACAAATGGAGAAAATGAAATGAATCTGCCCCCCACTTATGAACGGGAATTAATTCTTGCCATCAATGGGCTAAATAACGTCGTGGGTGGAGTCGACAATATTAATTTAACAAAATTCAACTTATCTTATAAGGTAATATTCAAGGCAATTATCCATCTTTTCAACAGCTGTTTGTCTTCGGGGATATTACCAGGCATTTTCAAAAAAGCCGTGATTAAACCCATCTTTCGGCGCGTTTCATCTCAACTATCATAATACCTGTACCACCGGTACTCACCTGTCTGTCTCTGTCTCTATTGCTGTTCCATGATTGGCTGGTCGGCCATGATGGATTCATGACGTAGAGGGTGTGATGTCACACTGGTCGCTTACTGGACTGGCAAAACCTTTTAACATGTCGGTGGTCGGCGGGGCGTCCACGATCATGGCGGCGCGCGGTGCAGACGACCTCGCGTTAGTGCTTTGAATCTTTTAGTCCTTGCGGGCTACTAGGGACTTAGCGGGACATTCTTTTTTTAAGCTCGTGACTTGATGATAATTGACCGCCTCTCAGTGATCTCAGTGGGGTGGGGGATATGCCGCAATATCTTAACAGATGATGTTTGTTGTACCTCTGAATTGGTGCTGCAGAGTACATGTACTGAACCCACCATTGAGAAATCTCGCTTGCATGCCAATGTTTCCCTCAGAAGTAAGCCTTTTCCCACGCTTTCATGAATTTAGCCCCATGTTATGATGACCTAGTTTCTGCAATTCCATCACATTTAAGGATATAGAGCAGAATAACATCCGTTTATTAGTGATCTTTGTATTACCAGCCATATTCCTACGAAAATGTTTGTAATACACCTAACTGTGCATTCAAGGGGGCGCTAGCAGGCCTTTAATATTTTGTCACTGCCCACTTGAATAAATGCCAGGGTAATATTGAAAGACCTCAGGTAACATATGAGCATTGTGTTGAAGAGTGCACCCACCAATCCCCAAGAATCCACCACTCGTTTTTGGCACCACTTTTAAGACGACCTCTTCTTCCAGGCTTTTCAGATGTGGACATTGCAGCCAGGAATTCCATGAGCAGGATGAAGGAGAAAAACACTTGCTGCAGTGTACGGCAGACGCCCAGCCATTCCAGTGTGGACATTGCGCTCAGACATTTGCTAGCCGTGAGGAGGCAGAAGTCCACCTGTTAGCATGCAACCAGGGAGACCAAGGTTTGCATGTGCCTCCCCACAAATGTCAGACATGTGGGGTATCATTCCAGCACCTCGAAGAGCTGGATGCTCATTCCCCTTTCTGCACACGGGTGGGAGGAGGAAAGTGGACTGATGAGAGATGTTTCCTTCTTGTGACAATAATGGAGGAAAACTATGGGAGGTTCAACAAAATGCTGCCAAAGCAAAATAAACATTTTTGGCTGGAGGTAGCAGAGAAGTTAGGGGGGACACCAGAGCAAGTAAAGATTAAGTGGAATGCCCTCATGCAAGCATACAAATGCATCAAGGACAATGCAGGCAAGAAGAAAACTGGGAGGGGTGTCCTGGAAAATGTGAAGCACTTCACTGTTCTGGAAAGATTCCTAGGTGCAAACCCAAAGATAATGCCTCACTATGTCATTGAGTCATGCAACGGGACAGGCAACATGGGCAAGGATGGGGGGAGCAGAAAATTGCAGGAGGCTGTTCTAAGGACAGTGTGGACCAGAGTGTGACCATCCAGAGGAGAAAGGTGATCATTTCATGATGGAGAGTAATTGGTGGTCTTATCTTTTTCCTGATTCCCATGTTTCTTCATCACTTGATGTATGTTTTATTTGTTTTTTCTCCCTCTTGTTATAGCATTGCAGTTTAGCAAAAATGATTTGCTCTTGTTTGCAAGCATGCATCTGTCGCCTGACCCAGCAGGCACCAAAAGCACTAGACCATGGTGTCTTCAGTCTGGTGATGTGTGTGACATGACCTGTAGGTACCCGGAGACCCGGTACCCCATGGTGTCTTCAGTCTGGTGATGTGTGTGACATGACCTGTAGGTACCCGGAGACAATATGAGTGTCAGTCTGGTGATGTGTGTGACATGACCTGTAGGTACCCGGAGACAATATGAGTGTCAGTCTGGTGATGTGTGTGACATGACCTGTAGGTACCCGGAGACAATATGAGTGTCAGTCTGGTGATGTGTGTGACATGACCTGTAGGTACCCGGAGACAATATGAGTGTCAGTCTGGTGATGTGTGTGACATGACCTGTAGGTACCCGGAGACCCGGTACCCCCATGGTGTCTTCAGTCTGGTGATGTTGTGACATGACCTGTAGGTACCCGGAGACAATATGAGTGTCAGTCTGGTGATGTGTGTGACATGACCTGTAGGTACCCGGAGACAATATGAGTGTCAGTCTGGTGATATGTGTGACATGACCTGTAGGTACCCGGAGACAATATGAGTGTCAGTTTGGTAACCTGTGCTGTGGCAGGTACCAGGTGGCAGGTGACAGGTGGCAGGACAGGTGCCAGGAGCATGATGTTGCATTGGTGTCAGTCCACAGGCCTACATGATGTGATGGGGCAGGCACCTTGCGCATGAGGTGGCGGTGGGGTCTGCCATGTGACATGTGCCATCTGACACAGCAGGTACCCAGAGCACAAGGTCATAGTGGATCAGTTCAGTGACCTGTGTGACATGCGTTACTTGACATGGCAAGTATCTGGAGGAAGTGATAGCAGCAGCAGTGGAGATTAGGGCCGTGGCCACTGTGAGCGGAAGAGGCGCTTCAAGGAGGCCAGCATTGGCGAATACCTGATGGAGAGAAATGATTTTGAGAGGCACAGGCTGATGATAGAAGAGAGGAGGGTTGCTGCTGAAGAGAAAATGCTGGAACTACTTGCCCGATTGGTGGATGTGGTGGAAACCAACACCAAGAAGTGAAGAGTTTTAGCTGTATTTTCCGTGGAGAAGTTCAGATAAGATTTTGTTTTTAAGACCTGCTGAGGGTATGCCATTTAGCCAGGAACCCAGCACCGTGCAAACATGGTGTTCATGCAGTGCCTTTTATCATTTAAAGCATCAGCTGGATGGCTGTGCACTAAGCTTTGCAGGTGTCCAAAGAAAAGTGAAGCCTATTTAACACAGACAGGAGTGAGTTGTGGTACAAGGTGATGTGAATATGATGTGTTTCTAATGCTCATGCAATGCCTTAACGCCAGTCATCAATGTGTGTGCATATATGTGCCCTCATAGAACTGCACTATAACCTGTCTCTGTATGACTCCCGTTCTCATTGCAACATTTCACTTGGAAGCAGTTCCAGTCACTGGAGTAAGGACTTTTGGAATACACATAGATCACACAAATGTTGTATTTCCTGCCAGCAAAAAACGCTTTGTTCACTGCCCTTCAGACCTCTACAGCATTGCAAAATCTACATCACGCTGACCTACAGCGAACACCATAACGGAAATACCATAGACACTGCAACACAGCCAGTGATTATCCAGCAGCACCATCAGCCTTGCTACAGCACCCAAAGCCTTTCCACTAGCTCATTACGCACCACAACAGCGGATGGTTCAATGAGTATCGGATTCGTATGCTCCCGTAGTCCTCCAGCTCTCAGTCGCACCTCTTCATCGGCATATACGCCTTCAGTGACCTGATTTTCACTATCCTCCTTCCAAAAGTCATGCTCCTGGAGTGAAATGTTGTGAAGAACACAGGCTGCCACTATGAGCTTCACAACTTTCTGAACTGATTGAGCTTCCACACAGGAGAGGCGCAGAAATCTTGCCTTCAGAATTCCAAAGGTTTTGTCCACTACCACATGTGTACTTGAGATCAGGCGGTTGCACTTCTTTTTCTTTTTCCTATTTTCTGTCAGTTGATTTTCCCGAAATGGTGTCATGAGCCATCTCTGTAGTTCAAAGGCAGGGTCACCAACAATGAAACCATTTTGTGGAAGGATTGCATGTCTAGTGATGGGGTCTGCCAGCCCCTTATCCAGGGTACTCCTTCTAAACACACGCGAGTGATGAACTGACCCTGGCCACCCCACACAGATGTCCATGCACTTGTGGGATGAATCACAGAGGGCCATCAGATTAACTGAGAAGAAGCCCTTTCTGTTGGGGTAGGCCTCAGGATGATTATGAGGCTGCAACATTCCCTACATGACACCCATCCAGAGCACCGCACACATTGGGGACCCTCTTCAGCGACCTGAACCCTCCATCACTCGTGCCATGCTTTTCAAAGGAGGTATGCTGACGAACAAATCCCTCATTGTAACCAGGTCTTCAATAACTTCATCTACAAACGTCCAAGCAGTGCATGTTGCCAAACCAAAGAGCATTGCCACTTTTCTGAAGCTGCTGATGCTTCCCAGGTACCAGAGAGTGAGGAGTACTTGTTTCTCTCTAGGATGAGGTTCCCGCCCCTGTCCAGAGGGATTTTCATCCCTTTCACCCAAGAGTCCAATAATCCTCCTCACTGTGCCCCTCTTCAGTCTGAGCTGTTCCACGTACTGTTGGTCCGTTAGTAGTGGCACTGTTTTTTCATTGAAGTCTTCATTTTTTCCAAGCTCCTTCGGTCCCAAACTTCCCCGCTACATGTGGAGTGTTGTTAGATTGGAAAATTAACATCGGCAGGAACAGGAAAGGTCTGCAGACACATGCCAGGAAAGCATCAGGAAAGTATCACCAACAGAAACACCATGCTCAATTTTTTAGGCAAAAGCCAATGGACATTCTCATCACCCAATGTTATCACACAGGCTTGTCCAGAGCAGTAAAAACGCATGGCTAGGAGTTCATCAAGTCCTAATCTAAGGGTGCAGCTCCTATTCAGCTGAGGGGGGGGGGGGCGCTTCAGCACACCCACCCCCAACTTGAGCTTTATCTCCCCTCAAGTTGATGGAAAGTGGGAAAGTATTTTCCGAAACTGCACCCCTGGCATTATCATTATCATGTCTGATGCAACTCATCTATCTAGATTGCGGTAATGGATGACTTCAAGTGGGTCGTCGCCTAATGGAGCCACTGGGGCAATTTCTCTCTGTAATTCATCAAAGATGAATGCTTCCATTCCCGTGTACGTTTTTGAGATATGAATGACAAACACACAAGATCTTTCCCATCACTTATATTTTCATCTACAAGAGCTTTTTGACCGCGGTCACGCTGCTGCCCACTCACAAACTTATTTTTCTTCCCAAATTTGATGGTCACAGATGCGCAGCAAATGTAGCGCTTTCCAATAGTCAGTAGCTGGTATGAAACAGCCTAGCATACGAGTGGGCGGGGCTTGTGTTCGTCTACCAATAACACAATAGTTGAAATGAAAAGCGGCCTTTAAAAGTGTGAAATCGCAAGTTGTAAATAACTGCAGACCTATCAGTATTTTACCGTTTATGTCCAAAATTCTCGAAAAACTTATATATAATAGACTCGTCCTCCATCTAAACCAAAACCACCTAATTCACCAAAATCAGTTCGGATTTCAGAAGAACAAAAGTACTTACATACCAATTCTTCTTCAGCAGGAAACTGTCACTAATGCTTTTGAAAACGGGGAATATGTGTTAGGTTTGTATTTAGATTTGAAAAAAGCCTTTGACACTGTAAACATAAACCTTCTTCTACGTAAACTTACTTAATATGGTATTCGACGAAAATCTCATGAAATCATATCTTCTTATTTGTCTGGTAGAACTCAATGTGTAAAAATCAGGAATTATCTTTCAACAATAAAAAAAATGTAGTAATTGGTGGTACTTCAAGAATCCATTCTCGGTCCAATTCTCTTCTTAATTTGCATAACTGATTTGCCTAAATTAAGCAGTGACATGATTTGTCTGTCTTACGCCGATGATACTGCGATTATTTTCAAAAATGAAGGATTGTTGAACTTCAAAACAATGTCCATACGCTTTTGCTTCTAATGACTTTCTGGTTTACTGCTAATTTTCTTTCCCTGAACGTATCAAAAACATTCACACAGCATTACACTACCCTTTCTTCGCATTTCCAGATAAATGTGCAAATTGATAATTCACCTATTGAAGAAAAAAAGAAATAAAATACCTGGGTATAATCATTGATAAATCTCTTCAATTTACTAGCCATACTAATTTGGTTGCAAGCATAGTAAGTAGAAATATTGGAATCATAAGTAGGGTTAGGTACTTTATTGATAAAACGAGGTCACATCTATTCTATATCACTTTGATTCTTCCTTATTTAAATGACTGCCGCTTGATTTGGGGTATAAATTATGCTTCTCAACTAGGTCGGTTGGTAATTTTGCAAAAAAGGGCTGTGCGTCTTATATAAAATGTGAATCCTCCACAAAGCTCAGAGCCAATCTTTTAACGATACAAAAGTTTAAAACTATCGGATGCTGCTAAATACCAAATGTTAATTGTGATGCACAAATTTGAAACTTCACAGCTCCTTGCATCATTCGATTTAATTTACAAGCTCTACGAATCAAATGACATGGATATGCGGCGAGCAAAAGATTTAGACCAACCTTTATATAATCGTAGTTTAGACTATTTACAGCATCTTGCCTTGGCTCTAAGCTGTGGAACGACAGTATGGTTCCATATTTTCCAAGAATAACTGATATCTCTGTATCAAAAACCATCGTTAAGAACATCATCCGCAAGCATTTCGTGAGTACATATTAACGTAACCAACATATCTGAAGATATCGCAATCCTTTGCGCTGCACATATCCAAAGCACTTCACATTTGACCTTCATGCTCCATAATCAATTTCTGATATAGTTGAAGTTATGCACATATACCCAAATTCACGGCGCCGGCTCCGGGAGTTTTCCCAACGACAAGCTCTGCTTAGCTGGTTTGACTCCCTGGGCATCCAGCTCAAAACCCAGCACGAAAATGACCAGGTGATTGCCCTCTCCGCCTTGTTTGACTGTATAACCCTTACTAACACGGTAAATTGAGTAATTGCAGCTTATTGGGCGGTTATAGCGGGCTGTCATTAGCTGACTTTTACTAATGACTACTTTAAGCCCTCTCATCTATGATTTTTCCCTGCCTATTATATAACACAATTCCTTCGGGTCTGCACCACCTCTTCGCCTGCTTCTTTACGTTTGTTTCATCTTCCTAGCTGGGAGTGCCGCGACTTGATTTTATGTTTTCTGGTGTTAACGTACGGTTTACTGCATCGCTGGGATTGAGAGAGGGGCACTCCTGGTTACCCTTTCTTGGGTAACGGCTTAGAAAAAAGAAATGGTAAGGAAGTCCAAGCCCTTTAGCGACATGAGGAATCAGTCTATCACCGGACGCCTTTTCCACCACCGCAACCTTCATATCAAGCACACATTCAAAACGCTCATTTAGATAATGTCATTAACTGAAGTCAGGATAACTGCCGCTGCTGCTAGGAAAGCAGTTACGCCGGCGCTAGGCTACGGGATAGCCCAATCACAAAATAAGTCTGCTTCCACTCTCGAGACTTGCCGGGGCCTCACTCTTAGCCTTGATCTGCCACTTCCCTTTACCACGAAAAAGCAACGAAAGACCTCAATAGCCGGGGCAGCAGAATACATGACCGAATTTGAACCAGTGACAGACAGCACTGGGGGATAACGTCCAATATGCGGCCTCCTTAAGGCCATGTCCTATGAAAATCACGCGTGAGCTCCCAGCCACAACTCAACCGTCATCGAGCTCTCCACCATACCTTATGCGTGCTCCAGGGGTGGCGTGACATGTGTTGCCTGGTGGGCGTCTTTCTCCGGGCCACAATAAGAAAACTTTTAAAATTTGGTATTAGCTTCACATCAGGCTGCCTAGACCTTTCTGAACAATGTACTCGCTCTGACAGGAGGGAGGGTGGGACGATGCGACGCCCCCTCATGTTTTCTGAGGATACCAAACTGGCATATTGTGCGGTCGCGCTCACATCTTTCGTGGCCTCTGGGGCGTTCATTGCGCGTGTGTTGACACCAGAAGCGTGCAGTGTTTATTTTTCCGACATCTGGGTGGAAAATGACACCTTCTCATTGCCTTTTGGACATCCTCACGATGTTTTTTTCTGTCATCCTCTCCACCACAAAACAACCAGCGAAATCAATCAATTTTTTCTGGGAATACCATCAACTATCATTCAGAACTTAACGAAACATATGATCATAACGTTATATTTGCCACATTGGATATAGGCAATGTTTGTGTTATGTGATGCATTCAGTGGATACAACATGACTACATTTCATATGATCAAACAGAAAAACCTTTCCGGGGTCAACCAGGGCCCATCCTTCATCATATCTTGTCTCTCGCAAAGCGTCATCTGCA